GTATAAGGAGGGCGAAAAAGGAAATAAGCCCAAGATTCCGTCTCTGGAATTTATATACCCGGTTCAGGCAACTTCATTTCCAACTTTCTCTTCTGGGTGTGCCAGGGAAATGGAACTTTCATTGAATTCGACGGAAAAGAGGGAGAGGGGTTTTTCGCCATGCCTCACCGCCTCCGGGGTTTTAAATTTTCTAAGCGGGAAAGGACGCCGTCTTTTTCGCTGAATATTCCACACACACACACACAAAAAAGAAGGAGAAAAGGGGTGAGGGTGAATGATCATTGCCGAAAATGCGAATTTTATCCCTCAGGATAAAAAAAAAAGAAAAAAGAAAGAGGCCAGATGAGAGAAGCAGAAAAAATATAGTGGGTTCATTAAAAAAAAGGAAAGTTCAGGGAGGTGTTTTCATTATACAGTATCTCTTTTCCCTTTTTTATTTTATATATATTTTCCTTGCAGCAGGAAGCAGTGCTGAAGATCGAGCAGGTCCTTTTGCACAATGTCAGGGCTGGGTTAGTCCGCGAATTTCTCCGGGGATGGGTTTAGTTACCCTGGTGTCGTCGGGTGTGGCGGGTTGCTTCCTTCTCAAGAGGGCTCCTTGAAGAAGCCTATAGTGCTATTTCTTACTGCCCTTATTTCTTTTGCGACGGGTTTTTGTGGCATTTGTTTTCTTTCCTGAAGAGAAAAATTTGTCTCGGAAATATTTCAAAATAAATAGATCTGGAAGATTTTAGAGGCCCACCATAAATTTAATAAATGACATTTTGGAATATCTGAGGGCTGTTCTAAGGCCACATGAGGTTTGATATGTTTGCTCCTGTCAAAAAGTGATGAAGAATAGTGACATTTTTTTATCAAATTTGAAAAAATAATATGCCACGCAAATAAGATCAAATTCTAAAAGTCCTGATAAATTTTCAGCCCACTGAAGTGATTTGAAAATTGTTGCCATTTAATTGAAGAATTTTCGCTTCCTATCATGCAGTGAATTTGAAAAGGATGAAAATCGAACAAAATGTAAAAGCCTAAAAATCACGCGGAAAATAATTTTTTTTTACATTTTTGCGAAGTGAAAAATATGAAACCCCGCGCTGCCTCGTATTTCTGAATTTCCCTGATCAGATTCTTCCAAATTACAGCGAGATTAAAATCAAAATATCTCGGAAGAAAATTTCCATGTGTTTTAAAATTGTATTGAATTCTATACAAGAAATAGAAAACTTCTTGCCCATGTAGGATCTATTGGTAATAGTGATGTTGCTCTTGAAGCAACGCAACGCAGCTCCAGCATCCAGTTGCAACTGGACCTAAAAACTAGTTGGATCTTGAGGCCAGTGAGCCTCTCAAAATTCTTGCCCATGTAGGATCTATTGGTAATAGTGATGTTGCTCTTGAAGCAACGCAACGCAGCTCCAGCATCCAGTTGCAACTGGACCTAAAAACTAGTTGGATCTTGAGGCCAGTGAGCCTCTCAAAAATCCTGTTTTTGCAAGACTCACTGAGCCTCACTCAAGGACAAGAAGTGGTCATCACCTCTTAGATTTTCCTAAAATCAGCCAATCCTGAGCAAGGAAAAAATCACTTGATTTCTTCCTGACCCAGTCCAAGCACCTGGGTATAAAAATCTTCATTCCTCCTTGAGAGGAAAAGTCAGAACCAAGTGTTAAGGACCTTTTAACTTGAATTACCTCATTCAATATTCTGAGCTAACCAACCAATCTTACAATTGACTCTGCCATTACAACCATTGAATTAACAGTCAATTGATGAACTGGGCAATGAGAATGAACTCCACTGAAAAGAGTTTGAGTTCTTATTCAAAACTTGCATTCTGATGGCTGCACAATTCAATTCCGTTGTCTGGGATCCAATGGACCCATGACAAGTGACTCACACATTTGAATGCGCAAAATGTGTCAAGAATAATTCCTTTCTTTCACTGAACTCTGGAAGCTAATTTGTGCCAAATTTTGCTGCAAGATTTTTACATTTCCGTGGACTTTATAAATCGTTAAAGTCCTACTGACTCCCAAGTAGTTTATACGTCTACGCCTACCATTTGGAGTAAAGGAGTGTCAAAACTCCACTTTTAAGTTTAGTGTCAAAGAGAAAGGTACGGAACATGGACAATGAATAATTAGATGAAAAGGTCAGGACATTTTCAAATATTCCTGGGTGAAAATCACTTGCCCTGGAAATATTCAGGGGAATTTTTATCCTCGACCTTTTTCACATTGAGTGTTTTTATGTCCGCCTTGACTTCGAGAATAAGTTTTTGAACAGAGGGAAGATTTTCCAGATTTACCTCAAACAGCATGAATAAATCAATCCAAGATGGGTTTTATTACGCAGAATACAATATCCTTCGAATTTGTAAAAGAAACAAAACTATTCAATTTCACACACACACAAGAACCAGAATTGCAAGAGATGGAAAAACTTGAGGCATCATCTATTTGCCAAGGTCGACAAAAATGTCTCTCACTTGAAAGTTAAAAATATCAAGGCNTCTGGGATCCAATGGACCCATGACAAGTGACTCACGCATTTGAATGCGCAAAATGTGTCAAGAATAATTCCGTTCTTTCACTGAACTCTGGAAGCTAATTTGTGCCAAATTTTGCTGCAAGATTTTTACATTTCCCACCTGAAATATTTAGCAATTTCAGGATGACTGAGGGTTCATCAAATATGCAGATGCGGATGGTAAACCTCATTTCCTCACAGTTTTGAGGTGAAAATTCAAATCACAGTTTCTCTTTCCATGCCTTTGTGGACAATGAATAATTAGATGAAAAGGTCAGGACATTTTCAAATATTCCTGGGTGAAAATCACTTGCCCTGGAAATATTCAGGGGAATTTTTATCCTCGACCTTTTTCACATTGAATGTTTTTATGTCCGCCTTGACTTCGAGAATAAGTTTTTGAACAGAGCGAAGATTTTCCAGATTTACCTCAAACAGCATGAATAAATGAATCCAAGATGGGTTTTATTACGCAGAATACAATATCCTTCGAATTTTTAAAAGAACAAAACTATTCAATTTCACACACACACAAGAACCAGAATTGCAAGAGATGGAAAAACTTGAGGCATCATCTATTTGCCAAGGTCGACAAAAATGTCTCTCACTTGAAAGTTAAAAATATCAAGGCCTTTGCGCTTACAAGGTTGACCTTGCATTATGAAAACTTCACAAGGTCGAAGTGCAAATTTGAGGAAATTTATGATTTTTAGGTCTCACAATTTTTCCAGGCAAAAAAAATTGGTGCACAATTCCCTTTTTTGTTGACCATATACAATTAACTCATGTGCAGCGCAAAGTCAGGATATTTTCACAAAATGTTTTGCAAATGAATGCTGCAAAAAAATAAAAAATAAAATTTTTTTACAAAGTCCTGAGTCATGAAAAAAGTCTAATATATTTTCATAATCCTGCCAAAATTTTGACAAAAAGGAAATTCCTCCTGGGTGGCATTTTTTCATGCATTCTCAGCATATGATCAACATTGGGGATTTCTTGAGACAATGGGATTCTCTGCACCTGGAGTTTCCCCAACTTTGGTCTTGGCAAACTGGGGGCATTTCAGTGACTTTTTGTCAAACTGAAATGTCCCTCCCCCAAAAAATCTTCACTTTACCACATGACATTGAGGAAACCTCCACTGTCTATGGGTTGAACCCTTTGAAGTGGAATTTCAAGGTACCAGCAACAAGTTCAACTGAGGGAGGTTCCCAGTTAGAGAGGTTTTGAGTCACAGAAACCCACTTTTGCTGTGGGAAGCATAATGGTAATGTGCCAGGCCTTAACCCTCGGACGGTGGAGGGTTCTTTCCCATAGCAGGATGAAATCGGATTATTTTTGTATGCTCCCTCATTTTAAGTTTTTAGAAGGTCAGGAAAACCCTTCCAGGTGGGCTGAGGCAAAGTCGGGATTAATCCCAGAAAAGCCAGTAGCGTCCCTGAGCATTTTTTAAATTTTCTGGAAAAATTTTTCTGCCCCCAGGGAAAAAAAATTTGGGATTTTTCCCGACTTTGCCCTTCACCACCTGTTTTCATTTTTTCTTGACCTGTCTGAGGTGCAAGGAAATTGCGCAAAAATACCCCAACTTCGCTGCCCAAGGGTTAAATTACTTCTTAAATGAGCTGACGTGAGATTAATCAACTCAAAATAAAAATTGAATCATGGAACAGTGGAAAAATGATATTAAATGATTAGGCAGGGCAATCAGCCAATTTGGTAAGAAGACATATTCAATGGGACCCAGAATATGTGTTCCTGGGTTTTGAAATTTATTCTATTCATTTTTCAAATCACAAAAGTATGGAATTGAATGCAAGAAATCACAATACCAAATTTTTGCACAATTTGGATTGAGAAGATAATTGGATAATAAAATAAAATTAAAAATAATTCACCATAAATGTTTTGCGTGGAATGAGAGAATAATGCTGAACTACTTCACCCAAGAGATAACCTTCACTGGCTTTGTCATTGAAACCAGTGGAAAGCTTCACTGGTTTCCTCCTTGGACTCAAATTCATGTTTGCCCAACACAGGATGCTAAACTTGGAGACAATGGTTCATTTGCTCAATTAGTCTTTCCCTTCATTTCAAAACAGATCAAATTACTTTTTTCTTGCTTTTATCTTTCCTGTGTCAAGAAAATAACAGTCAAAAGACCTCAGAAAATTGAGTCTTGGAGGCTTCAGGGGGAAAGCTTTAGAGTTAAAAGGGTTTTTAATGCATTGTTTCTGAAGGAATTTAGACACAGGCTTGAAAAAAACAAAACCTGACTGTAGGAGGTTTGAGGTTTTGACTTTCAACTGTGGAACAAAGTTGCTATGGAAATTTATTTTTGTGCAGGCCACGTTTGTTGATATGAAAAAGCCCCAGAGGGTATTATTGCTCTTCCAGAAAAAATACTGCATAATAATTAAAAAAAAAACCCTGCATCTCTCTTGTTTGATTATGGCAGCAAGAGGGGCCATGAAAAGATGAAGTCAACGACGTCGGGGTCATTCCTGCCATTGCTCTTGCTGTCGTCATCCTTGTCTCTTTTCCGACCCACTGCACCCTGCTACACATACAAGGACCAGGCTGACTCGACCCACGCAACTCATCAAGAACCCGACCCGTGTCTGAATGTGCAGTGTCCCCCGGGGGCCAAATGCGTGCCGAAGGTGAGCTCGGGTTCCCTGTTTCCGGGTTCCGGCCCCAGGGCGGAGTGTAGGTGTCCCACGCGATGTCCCAGTTACGGGGATGACGCCGGGTCCAGGCCGGTTTGCGGATCCGATGGCAGGGATTACACTAATCTCTGCCAGCTGAGGAGAGCCGCGTGTCATTTGAAGACGGATATCAGGATCAAGTACCGAGGGACCTGTGGTGAGTTGCTGTGAGACCCTGACATGCATGTTGAGGAATTAATCCACCCAACATGAAAAATTGAACCATATAGCCAGTGGAAGAAATGGTGGGAAATAATAAGGCAGGGCAATCAGCTGGTTTGTGGCTGGGAATATGTAATTAAGGAGGTACCTTAATTGAATATCCCTAGTTTTTGTCTGGTTCAATCACAGACCACAATAAATCACAATCAAACACAATGCAAAATAATACCGTACATCACAGTAAATGCACTGACGCAACACACATTCAATGAACACAATTAATTTGTGCACACAAATTTAGGGTGCAAGAATGCAATCAAAAGAATTGGGGTTGAATTGTTCGAGGGAAGTTTACTGTAAGAGCTAACTTAAAGGACTGATATTGGGAGTGGAAAAGTGCTGGGTTTTTATAGGATTTAGCACAATGCTTCTGTCAGCTGACCTGTCCAAAGCACTGGACTTTTTCCTCCACCTGTGATTGGTGGAAGAAATGTGCATCAAAGAAGTTGTGCATTTGGGGAACAGATGCACCAAGGAAAATAGGACCAGAATTCAGGTACTGGGACCTGACCTCCCTGGGCCCAAGTCCTGGTTTCCAAGCAATGTGGATGCCCTGACATCTACAGCATGGATGATTTGATTCAAGGGACACTTGAAACTCCAAAAAATCTGACCCAACATCTGAAAATTGAGTTGAGATAGTAAATGCTTTGCCAATATATTGCAGATTTTTTTTAAATTTTGAAATCTATTGACCAAATTGAGCTGTTTATATTCAATATAAACTTAAAATAATTCCATTATAAATTGACTGTTATTCATGATCAAAGATTGGGCTGAGATTTTGCTTATTTTTTCAGATTTTTTTTATTGATCATCTGTGCACATTACAGCAGGGCTCATTATTTTTTGCTTTTGAGCCTCTTTTTGATGCCAAATGATCAGATTCTATGCAGTTTCCTTCTGCACAATTGTTTTCTGTCTCTTGAGGTTGAGTAAAACAAGTTACATTTCATGTTTAGGGAACTTATTCATAATTTTTGATGAATAGCAGAATCAATTAAATATGTTTGCATTGAACTCTATGGGAAAATTTGATTCAACATGCAGATGAGCAACATACAGGGACAAGGTTCAAGCATCAAATACGTCCAAATGCTGTGGAAATCCATTATGTATGGACGATTTGAGTATAAGGGACACTTGGAAATTTCAAAAATCTGGACAATGCTTGGACATATGTGTCATATCCTGAAGCGGCGCAGCTCAAGCATCCCGCCGCAACTGGCCAAGAAAATTGTTGAATCTTGAGGCCAGTGACCCTTGCGGATATCCCATTTTTGCAAGACTCACTGAGCCTCACCCAAGGCCAAGAAGTGGTCATCACTTCTTCAATTTCACTAAAATTGGCCAATCCTGAGGAAGAAATTACCTGATTTCTTCCTGACCCAGTTAAAGCACTTGGGTTTAAGCCTTCACTCCTCTTTGAGAGGAGAAGTGTTAATCTTGTGTTAAAAGGGCCTTTAAATTACCTAAAATTACCTAAACTTAAATTACCTTATTCATTTTTCTGAGCTAACCAACCAATCTTAAATTGACTCTGCCATTACAACCATTCAATTAATAGTCAATTGATGATCTGGGCAATGAGAATGAACCCCTCTGAAAAGAGTTTGAGTTCTTATTCAAAACTTGCATTCTGAAGGCTGCACATTTCAATTCCTTTGTTAGGATCCAATGGACCTACAGCAATATGCACACTTCTACAAAATGTATAGAAAAATGAAAAAGGTTCACTTCCCAACATATTGATAAGTACCTGTATATATTTAACAAATTGAGCCATGTATATCCACAAGAAAGTAAAAAAGGAATTGTATTTTGAATTTACTCAAATTCATAATAAAAACAGTTGAATTGTGTGCTTCTTGTATTTTAAAATATCCTCCATCATCTCTACACAATATAAATGTAGGAAACATTTTTGTTGCTTTTTTCCTTTTCTCATCAAAACATCAGATTGTGTTTGGTTTTCTTCTGCGCAATTACATTATGTATCTTCGAGTTGAGAAGCTTTAAGCTAATCAATTTGTGGATGTGTTTTAATGCTGTGGAATTTGAATTTCAAAGTACAATTTCCCAGAGGTTACAAAATGAAACATTCAATTTGCTTCAAGCATTCACCAAAAGACAATGATAAACCTTCAAAACTATGTACTTGTCCTATTTTTAGGATTTTTTTCATTTAAAAGCTTCTGTTTGACTTGAAGGTTATTATTTGTTTACCTGAATATTTAAAAAATGTTAAGCTCAGAATGGTATAATTTTTCCTATTTGTAGGCTTCAAGTTTGCTCAAGTTGCTAAAAAATTAAAAGATAATACAGTACTATTTTCAAACCTTTTCAGATCCATGTGCAATGCAACCCTGCATGGAAGGCGGCGTTTGCCAATTGGACACCAGAAGACAAGCAGTTTGCAGATGTTCCACGATTTGTAACTTGGAATTCAAGCCAGTTTGTGCTTCAGATGGCCGGACTTATGCAAATCAGTGCATCATGGAAGTGGAGGGTTGCAAGGCCAAGAAGACTCTGAGGATTATCTACAAAGGCGAATGCTCTTCAGGTTCGTGCTATCTTCTATATTCATTAGTCAGAATTTGAATTACAGTATTAAGGAAAAAAATGATTGAGATTGGGAAATGGAATTGTGATTCGAACTTCGAAATCGAGTCATTTGACGTGAGCCAAGTTGAGTCACAGTGGGCCTGTCTTTTCCATTGCACTGTAAATTTTGCAAAGCTTTGCAAAGGCAGTCTGCTAAACCTGCTGTACAGTTATCAGAGGACATTATCAGAGAAAAAAATTAGAAAATCGCTGAGAAAATTCTGAATTTATGAACCATTCATCCATGTTTACTGCGAGGAAAGAGAAAAGATTGAATTTGGACAGGAATATTTTAGAACGGACCAGTCCTTTTTGAATTAATTCTGTTGATGGCGGAGGAAATTTGAAAGTTTCACTGATCCACGGATTCGTCAAATTAAATACCAGGATCTTACAAATTAACGTCTTTAAGAAGTCTTCCAGAAACATATATTTCAATTGCTTGGCGTTTGTATACAACACATCGTTCATGAAATTTTTGGATTGAGTGAGAATATTTTGGCCCTTTGAAAGCAAAAAAGATTGTATATTCAATTGACAAGTATCCTTTATTTGCTGCTTTTCAGTTCACAAGGTTCACCCCCCCCTTTCCAAACACACATCCTTTTAAAAATAAAAATAAAAACTAGGGGAAATATTACATTACAATGCATAAAAGGAATATTTTTGTTTGGGCCCCTTTTTTACAAGAATTCAAAAACCTAACAATTAGAGATTGCAATTTAAAGCACAATTCATCCAGTTCAAGATATGTGTATATTGTCATCATAATAATTGTGGGTCCTTGAACAGCATAAGAATACCCTGTTCTCAAACTGAGTTTCATGTGTGAGATCGGCATAGCAACGCACCAAAATCGGTGTACCAGAATGTTGCAACAGTGTCCGCCGACCGGTCATTCACATGGCACGGTTTACTTTCTGTTTATCTTATTCATGCATGGTCAGTTACCTGTCTGGCGCATCCAATGTCTATAAAGGAGTATCTGAACACTCCTTTCCTCACCCATTGCTGGTCTGGACTGTTGTTGTGCATGATCTGAAATAGATGTATTTGGGACTAAGAGAAGTTGTCTCATTCACTTTACTCCGGCCATAAGATTAATACTTCTTGACTATAGCTTATCTAAATGGAAATCATTGGATAAGAATTTAAGGGATTGCAATGCATAGAAGACGTTCACGCATAGTTCCTAAGATTCTGTATACATCTGACAGTTTGGGATAACAATATTGTGAAGCAAAAATGTTTTGCAGTTAGAGAAAATAAAAACGCATTGATTTTTTTATTGACCCAGGTCTTAGTTTTCATTTCAAGGTTATACTTATTTACACTGCTCCTCATGGGCACTTAATTTTGTGAATATATTCCAACTTTCCTGTAAAATGGCTGAATGCTAAAATGCACATTTACCACATGGGTCAAGCAAGAGATGAGACAAATAGAATTGTTCACTTTTCCTTCACTCCATTTCTATATTCAGCCTTTTCCCCCTTTTCCAGAAAATCATACTTATGCCCTCATCTTATTGCCTGCTTCAACAGGAAAGTGCTGAGATTTATTATTACAGTACCAGCTTCCTCATGTGTTGGCAGTTGGGTTTTGTTTGAAGTAACCCCCAGGGCACTGAAGCTGTGGCACATGTTGTGAATTCTGACAATGAAACCCGTCTGTCCGTGACTGAACCCATGCTCAGAGTAACACTGAGCCGCATTTCTAGTGATTGACAGTACGTGCTGAACCGACATGTTGTGTACATATGTACTTCGCAGTACTGCAGCGTTGGCATCATCCTTGACCCCAGGCATGTTTCATTTTTATTCTAACAAGATGGAAATTGACGGAGAAAAACGAAATAAATTACCCTGTTTTATTACTGGAACAGAGACAGAGTTATACTATATGCCATTGTCTACATCTGTGGGGGTCTGATGGAGATGCGAGGACAAGTCTTGGATCAATTTCTGCTGAGAGCTGCTGGAAATTCTGCGGAGATTTCGTGCAATTTGTTAAGCTTTATCTCGTGACTTGACCCAGAAACGTCGCTTCATTTGTGACAGAGAGAGATGTGAGCTGAGTAGATTACTTCCGTAATTAAGAAATCAAATGTAAGCATCTCTCAAGGGCTTTTCAAAGTCAAGAGGAAAAGGGGGTGTGCATGTGACAGGCAGGTAAAAATTTTGAAGAAGTTTTAGAAGTTCATATGTGTCAAATGCATGCTTTGAATGGCGAATTGTTGGGGTCAAGATCAACAGAAACACTTATTTCAAGTGAAGCAATTGAAAATTAGTTGAATTCAGGTTCAATTCATGTCCAAATTGAAATTACAGTGTTCTCATAACTCTCAGATGTTGAGAGCCTCCTTTCAAACCACTAGCAAAGTTAGAATTTTTCACATTTTTGCATTTTAGTTTTTTGGATGTAAAAAAAATGTGCCTGGGTTGACAAGGCCAGAGTTGGGGAAAAAAATCCAGAAACAGTGAATCTTTATGCTTTCAGAAATCTTAAATGCCTATCAAATGCTAGGAATGCAGAAAAAATGGACGAATAAATGGAATGCAGTTGTTGGGGAATAATGTAACACAACATAAATTTTGAAATAATTTAAAGTGTATCAAAAATGATGAATAAAGAAAAGTTCAAATAAAACTCAGAATGGAACACAACATAAATTTTGAAATAATTTAAAGTGTATCAAAAATGATGAATAAAGAAAAGTTCAAATAAAACTCAGCCTGGGTCAAGGTCAAAAATCCTTTTAGGATTTCCTGAATAAAAACTAAATGAGGATATATTTCTGTTTGTCCCAAAAAATATAGTTTTGAGTAAAAGGTTTCACCAACTCAGCAGAACTCATCAAATTTTGGAATTGGGATTTTATGAGCACTTTTCACAAACAAAGTTCGATTGCGAATGCATCTTTGTTCTTGGGTGAACAGAGGAAATACAAAAATCAAATCTGGTTTTTATTGTCCTTTTGCTGTGTGGTTTTCCTTGAGGAGTTACTTCCCTTTACTAGGAAACCTAGGAAACCAGGAGAACTGGTTTCCTTATGAGATAGTGGTATTTAGTGGTTTAAATAATTTTAATTTTATTGGGTGCATACGCGGTTTCCTAACAGTAGTTAAATAGCTGAATAATTACAGAAATTCGGAAGCACAGCCTTTTTTTTTTCTCCGGTGCTTTATTTTCTGGACTTCGAAGGGCGACAATAATAGTATTATGTTCGTCGGTGTTTCATTTGATGGAACACAAGTTGTCGCGACAAACAGGAAGGAAGTCGGGACAAGCCGAGCAGGATTTCCCCAGGATGTAAAGCGGATGTCCGGGCAGGTTTCCGGTGGGGCCGTAGTGACACACCAGTTCCCGGTTGATCCAGCCGCCGTTTGCCACGTACTCAATGAACCCGCACCCGAGGCCCACTGTGTTGGCCCAAACGAGCTGCGCGTAATGAGCAGTTCGGAAATCCGGTCTGAATTTCGCAAAAAATTTTTTTTTTCGGAATACAGAAAATGCAAAAAAATATTCTTTAAATTTTCCCTGGGCAAATTTCTGACTTTCCAGACTTGAAAACCTTTAAGGTTAAAGTGAGTTTGGGTCCCTCTGAGTTTGAATTGAAGAGATGTGATTGCTATTTAAATTGCAATTCACATTGGCAACTTGAACTCAAAATGTCTCAATGTTGCATGGTGAAAACTGTCGCAAATTTTTTAGTTCTATTTTTAGCAAGTCAATTTGAGAACTCAAATTCTCGTCCTTAGGGACAAAATCTACTTACTGTGAGAACCTCGGAAGACCTCGGTTCTCACGTTGCTTAAGGAAGCCTCCAAGGCTACATTTCTCCACTAATCCTGTTGCTAAATCTTGTCCTTGAAGGACTGCTTTCCTGTTCCAAAAACCCACAATGTTCAGCACAGTCTATCTCCTGCATTTGTGTGTGCGGTTACTCCAAGATTTTGCAAGCATTCTTCTCAAGTGCCAACCAAACCTTCAAATACATCAACCTTATAATAGGGTGATCTTGCCCTGGTCGCAGCCCAACCGAATTCTTGTGTTTTACTTCTAAAACCAATTCATTTCCTCATCAAAAGGTTTTGAAAACTAAAATTTTTTATTTGTTGGGATTTATTCCTGACAAAAACTCCTGAAGCAATTTTGACATGCATAGCTGTTGCTTAAACTATTTCTCTTCCTGAGTTTTGTGCAGTTTACAATTTGCTGCTAACTTCCATGCAATTTTCAACTTTAAATGAGGCTGTAACAAAAAATGGTTGCATGCGTTAGAAACCCAGCATTCTAAAACGTATAGCCTAGTGTGCGGAATTTTCCGCGGCCCTGCTTTGAAACAGGGCACCAAAAAAAAAACCAAAAAAGTAATTTAATCGGTGCATCTAGAGATGCACCAAAACAAACGAGAGATAAGAAAATCTCCCCAAAACTGGGGTGTCTTTAAACAAAATAGGGAAACGAATCGGCGAAACCGAAATTGCCAAGAAAAGGAAGAATGACTCGCAGATCCTAGAGACAAAAAAATTGGCGAGACAACGAAAGTCGGTGCCTTCTTTCAGCCAGAGGAACTTAATTTATCTTTTTGGCTAAACTGGGGTCATTCTAACCCCCCAAAATAAGTGCAAAAATTATGACCAGCTGCTGGTGGCTCACCCCAAGACTCATCCCCCCTTTTTCTTTTGCTAAAAACAATTTGTCTTCCAAAAAACAAGACAGCATCAAGCTGTCAAAACCCCTGGAAAAGCGTTTCAAGAAATCTATCTCCTATGATATTATTTTACTGCCGACAATTCCGACAGCACACTAAAACTAAAACTGCCCCGTTTTCGGGAAAAACATGTCAGGAAAAACATGTTGAAAAATCCAAAAAACAGCAATCTCAAAAATTTGTTACCAGCTGCCAACATCTGGCATTTTTGTACAGAGTTCAAAAACCTTGTCCACACCTGGAGAAAAAATTGTGCCAAAACAGGAGTGCAAATTGCATAAAACCCCAGCACATTTTGTGCAAGCCAGTCAGTTGAACCTTTGAAAAACCTGCGGAAAACCCATTTTCAAACTTAGCCAAATTCGCAAAAATTTTCGGACTTGAGAAAATTTGGGAAGCATTTGCGGACTTAGAAAAGATTCGGAAACATCTAAAAAGAACTCTGAGGAAATCTGGGAATTCTCCTCAAGTCCCTCCTTTGTTCTTTGTTGATCTCATCAGTTCCCTGTTTTTCTAAGTGTTGAGACCCTGTTTTATTTTTCCATCACTGGAAATTCTCGGACCAAAGACTCCCCTAATCTGACCTGAGATTCCCCTTTTTTTTCTTTATTCTTCCATCACTGGAAAACTTTTGTACCAAAAGACTTTGTGAATACCTGCCATAATCTGCGACTGAGTGTGTGTGTATATGAACTATTTATTGTCTGTTGTGTACTGTGTATTTTGTACCATTTTAATACCTTGTACTGCTTGCTCTGAAAAGAAAGGTCTGCGCTAGTTGGGAGAAATC